AACTTTATACTACCTTGGAAAATAAGCTCCTCCAAGATGGATTCCAGAGATAGGATGTTCTACTTTCAGTCATGTTCAGCGAGCTAAATAGTATTTCATCAGCATGGGCTTTGATATCGTATTAGTGTCTGCTTGGGGGTCGGCATTGTACTAGTGTCTGCTTGGTGTCGGCTGGATGCCCAGATCCTGAGATTTTATACTACCTTGATCTTAAGACCATCTTAAAATGCAATGCAACTTTATTGCAAGCAGGCAAAGATGAAGCCCAATATAGGACACCTCCTATGTCCTGAACAGTAAAGTTACACTTCTGTTGGATGTAATGGAATCTCCCCAGCTTCCTTTTGCATTTACTGGAAGCTTGAAGCACAAGAAAAGCCCCTGCTCAGCATTGGCATCCGGTGCGGTCAGCCAATGGGGTGGCCTCATGTGAAGGGCTTGGCAGCAGCGAATACTTTTTCACTACTGTCAACTCAGCCATCGAGGTGAAGTCCTGTGCAGGTAATTATTGGGGAATAATTGGCAGTTTTTTGAAAAGTATTAAATCTTGACACAGTTCATTCTCAACCTTCAGTTAGGGCTTAATTACTTGGCCATCTGCCCCCGTTACCCTCAGCCATGGCTGTTTCTGCTCAGGAACATCTCACCAGCGTTTGATGATTAGTGTAGCTCATTGGGCTCTCAAAGGCTCCCTATAGCTATACATGTATGTATAGTAAAGGATCAGTGCCCTTTTGCAGTAGTCTCATGGAATAAATACCCCAAGGGTCCTAAACATGTAAGATCACATGGGGCCTTTGGCCCTCTCCTGGTCCTGCAGTGATGTCCCCAGTCTTTGAAGCTACTGTAGGGGTCTCAGACTTGATGTTTTGCCCACTGTTGAGCTGCAGATCTCCCTCCTATGAAGCTGCTCACCCACAGGAAGCAGAATGGGGCAGATATGTAGAACATCGAGATCGCTGTCATTGATTAGATTTCATATTGGAAGTTACTGGCCACACTTACAAGTCTACGCCACGACTATAATTTTACAGGCAGCTTAAAGTATAATAGTATTTTTACAAGCAATAACGAAATGCTCATAGTCCAAAAGAGACAGAACTGAGCACAGACAGTCCCACCTGCGGGCACATATCTCTATTGGCTGTGCCAGGTGATGCTGATAGTGTTTCCTTCGGGAGTTAGTTGAGCTGAGTATTCTCTCAGGACCCCCTCTCTCTTCTCTGTTGCTTGTGGTACACTCCAGTGCAGTGTGAAATTGATCAGTTGTAAGAGAGCACACCTACCTTGGGGGGTGGCAATGACCAACCTTGAGGTGGTACAGCCCTACCTTGCAGAGACATCTCTTGGGAGGAGACAGAATCCTACCTTTGGGGGGGAGAAAAGGACCTACATTTAGGGGAAGAGGTAGAGACTTGCCTATGGAGGGGGACGGAGAGCTACCTTTTGGAGTGATTCAGAGACCTACTGTACCTTTGGTGGTGTGGCAAAGTCATACCTTTTGGGGAAGGAAAAAAATTTACTTTTGTAGGGAGAGAAACCTACCTTTGGAGTAGAAGTGGAGACCTACATTTAGAGGGTGGGCAAAGCTTACCGTTGTGGGAGGGGAGAATAGGGGGTGCAGGTGTTGGGATCTACCTTTTTGGAGAGGAGGCTGAGACTTACCCTTCTAGGGGCAGTAGTAACCTACCTTTGGGTTGGAAAATATCTACTTTTGGGGGGAGAAACAGACCTAACTTTGGGGGAAGAGGAAGGGGTGTGCAAGGACCTATCTTTTGGGGGAAAGAAGGGACCTAATTTTTGAGGGACCAGAGATTTGTACTTAGATTGGAGGAAGAGACCTACCATTTTCAGGATAGAAAGGGCCTACTTTTTGGGGAGGCAAGCATCTACCTTTAGGAAGAAGCAGAGACCTACCCTTGGGGGGAAGGAATGGACCTACCGTTGTGGTTACAGGAGAGACCTAACTTTGTAGGGGAATTCGGGAACTACCTTCAGGGAAAAGGAAGGTTAGACTGGGATCAGCCCTTTAAGGTGGAAGTATAGACCTCCATTTTTGTAGGCACCAGAGATCTATATTTGGATGGGAGGCAGAGGCCTGTCATTTACGGGGGCGCAGTCCTGTCTGGTTGGTTAATTGGCACGGATGCTTTCTGGCTATCACCACTCTGTTGTTTCACCACGCTCACTCCTGACTTATTCATGCACAATTCTATGCAACATATCAATTAAATTGCACTTTTTTAAAAAAGAATTCTAATAATGTTTGAAATTATTTTGGTGTTTTTTCAGTAATTTTTTCACCAGGAACTGCACTGAGCAACACTTTATAGGGTCTTTTTGTGGCTTTAAATTAGATTTAACTATAATTTAAATATGGAAATACTGTATACAATATACAAGGTGTGTTTTGTAGTATGCATAACTAATACCGAGTGTAGTGTTGTTTTATGTAAATATGAACCCTCTCTACAAGCTCTATGTCCTTATCATGGATTCCCTGTGACCCAATATTTAGCACTGGTCAAGTTGAATGTGTCATGGTTATTTCTCAGACTGAGGAGGTCATTGATTGTCCTTGACGGAGGACATTTGTGATGACCACAAACCTTCTACACACTTTCTTCTGTAGAAGAGAATAAGATCCTAGATATTGCATAGATTTATTGGTTTATTTATAGGCTGGCCCTTAAAAAGGTCATCTAAGAGCCCAGAATGTCCATAGAGCTCACAGTGCCCCAAGAGCCCAGAATGTCCATGAAGCTCAGAATATGGATAGAATCCAGAGTTCCCCAAAAGCCCGAAATGTCCATACAGGCCAGAGTGCCCCAGGAGCCCAGAGTGCCCCAAGAGCTTAATGGAGCCCAGAGGGCCATAAGAGCCCAGAATGTCCATACAGCACAGAATGTGGATAGAACCCAAAGTTCCACAAGATTCCAAAATGTCCATACTGGCCAGAGTGCCCCAGGAGCCCAGAGTGTTCATAGAGCTCACTGTGCCACAGGAGCCCAGAGTGTCCCAAGAACCCGTACAGCCCAGAATGCCCCAACAGTCTAAAATGTCCATACAGGCTAGAGTGCCTTAGGAGCCCTGAGTGTCCATAGAGCTCACAGTGCCCTAAGAGCCCAGAGTGTCCCAAGATCCTAATGGAGCCTAGAGGGCCCCAAGATCCCAGAATGTCCATACAGCACAGAATGTGGCTAGAGCCCCAAGAGTCCAAAATGTCAATACTCTCCAGAGTGCCTCAGGAGCCCAGAGTGTACATAGAGCTCACTGTGTCCCAGGAGCCCAGAGCGTCCCAATAGCCTATAGAGCCCATAGTGTCCTAACAGTCCAAAATGTCCATACAGGCCAGAGGGCCCCAAGAGCTCAGAATGTTCATCGAGCCTAGAGTGTCCCAAGAGCCTTTAGAGCCCAGGGTTTCCCAAGAGTCCAAAATGTCCATACTGGCCAGAGTGCCGCAGGAGCCCAGAGTGTCCCAAGAGCTCAGAATGTCCACAGAGCCTAGAGTGTCCCAAGAGCCCAAAGGGCCTAAAGTTCCCTAAGATCCCACAATGTCCAGAAAACTCAAAATGTGCATACAGCCCAGCGGTGGACTGACCATTTGGAAACGCGGGCACTGCCCGAGGGCCCGGGGGTCAGTAGGGGGCCCCATGAGATGCCCCTAGTACCTTTTTCATAGGCTTTTTTGAGTTTGGGCAAGGACACAGGGTCCCCATTATCCCCTATTGCCCGGGGGCCCCATGAGTTGTCAGTCCACCCCTGATAGAGCCCAAATGCCCAGAGTGCGTCAAGATCCCAGTGTTCCAAGAGCCCAGACTGCCTCTCTAAATCCCAGCCTTTTGGAAGTTGGATGAAGTCCCCTTCCCCTACCACCACATGGCAGTGCTCAAGGCTGCCCATAGGTTATGCAAGCATTGTGTGATGTGAGAGTCCAAACCTACATACCGCCTGTCAAATCTATTTCACGTCTGTACTTTCATTTGATTTCATAGAAATGGTAGTACAAACACATTCGCTCCTAGACCTAGTATCAATGTTTAAGGTCAGGTCCAGCTCTTGTCAATCGCCACGTGTATTGTGTACCCAACATACATTTGTCAATGTTTATAGATTTGTGGCATATGAGCGTAGCACTCATATTCCACCACATTTTGTAAATATTGGCAGATCTGTGGATTGAGTGTGTATTTTGGTTTACCAAGAGTTTCTGCTGATAATGGCGTGGTTTACTTGGTAAAGCCTTCAGTCCAGTTCTTATATACTTCACCCAGCAAGGAACCTTTCTTATTCTTCAGCAACTTTCCAACATACCCCACCTCCTCCACTGGCCATCTCTCACACTGGTGCAAGCTGGTGTCATTCACTGCATTTATGTACAAACTGGCAGTTTTGGGGTCCCTGGTGGCACTCTGGGAGGTCCTGTCTTCTGTTCTGTGAAAGGGCTTCCCAAGAAGGTTTGTGGACAACACAAATTTACCCTAAATTAGTGGAAGATGAGACCATCAGGTCTAGTTGTAGAGGAAAGACCTGGTATGCTAATGTGTGTATGTGTACCGTATTTTTCGCTCCATAAGACGCACCTAGATTTTAGAGGAGAAACAAGAAATAAAAAAAACAAGAAATAAAATGACCATTCTGAACCAATGACCAGGACTGCGGACATAGTACAGGAGATGACCAGAGACTGCGGACATAGATACAGGAGATACAGGAGACCAGAGACTGCAGACACAGTACAGGAGATGACCAGAGACTGCGGACATAGTACAGGAGATGACCAGAGACTGCGGACACAGTACGGGAGATGATCACTGCGACTAGCAGACATGACCAGAGTACAGGGATGACCAGAGAGAGACTGCAGACACAGTACAGGAGATGACCAGAGACTGCAGACATAGTACAGGAGATGACCAGAGACTGCAGACACAGTACAGGAGATGACCAGAGACTGCGGACACAGTACGGGAGATGACCGGAGACTGCGGACACAGTACGGGAGATGACCAGAGACTGCGGACACAGTACGGGAGATGACCGGAGACTGCGGACACAGTACAGGAGATGATCGGAGACTGCGGACATGGTATGGGAGATGATCGGAGACTGCGGACATGGTACGGGTGATGACCGGAGACTGCGGACACGGTACGGGAGATGACCGGAGACTGCGGACACGGTACGGGAGATGACCGGAGACTGCGGACACGGTACGGGAGATGACCGGAGACTGCGGACACGGTACGGGAGATGACCGGAGACTGCGGACACGGTACGGGAGATGACCGGAGACTGCGGACACGGTACGGGAGATGACCGGAGACTGCGGACACGGTACGGGAGATGACCGGAGACTGCGGACACGGTACGGGAGATGCGGACACGGTACGGAGATGACCTGCTGCGGACACGGTACCGGAGACTGCGGATGCAGAACGGGGATGACCGGAGACTGCGGACACGGAACTGTGAACCGCCTGCGGAACCGCATATGCAGTGGGCACTGTGAAGCCGCAAGCTGTCACAGCCGGGTGCCCACACTGAAGATGCCAGCACCGGGGAGAGAAGACAGCCGATGGAAGCAGGACACCGCTGGACCGAGGAACAGGTAGGACGGAGGAGCGGGTTCTTCTGCACAGTAGAGCCGAGCGGCTGGCCCGATGTTCTAACACGGCAGCGGGACTACCTGGCCGGCCACTCCATATTCACTCCATAAGATGCACAGACATTTACCCCCATTTTTTTTTGGGGGGGGGGGGGGGGAAGTGCGTCTTCTGGAGCGAAAAATCCGGTATATTGTACACCAATGATGACCAATGACGTCTATTATTCTCAAACCAGCCCATTCCTATATTGATTTTTACCAGAAATAAAAACGTATCAAATTCATATTTGTGTTATGTAATCATTAAAAATGAACAGAAGTCATTTGAAGGAATTGTTGTCATGGAGGATGGTATTGTACATAAACTGTTCGCTGTCACATCCCGGTATTTGCCATATACCTCCTCCTGGAATTTCCTGCCTAAACCCGGCTAGTATTTGTCATATACCTCCTCCTGGAATATTCCTGCCTAAACCCGGCTAGTATTTGTCATATACCTCCTCCTGGAATATTCCTGCCTAAACCCGGCTAGTATTTGTCATATACCTCCTCCTGGAGATTTCCTGGCTAAACCCGGCTAGTATTTGTCATATACCTCCTGGAGATATTCCTGCCTAAACCCGGCTAGTATTTGCATATACCTCCTCCTGGAGATTTCCTGCCTAAACCCGGCTAGTATTTGCCATATACCTCCTCCTGGAGATTTCCTGGCTAAACCGGCTAGTATTTGTCATATACCTCCTCCTGGAGATTTCCTGCCTAAACCCGGCTAGTATTTGTCATATACCTCCTCCTGGAAATGTCCTGCCTAAACCCGGCTAGTATTTGTCATATACCTCCTCCTAGAATTTCCTGCCTAAACCCGGCTAGTATTTGCCATATACCTCCTCCTGGAGATTTCCTGCCTAAACCCGGCTAGTATTTGCCATATACCTCCTCCTGGAAATTTCCTGCCTAAACCCGGCTAGTATTTGCCATATACCTCCTCCTGGAGATTTCCTGCCTAAACCCGGCTAGTATTTGCCATATACCTCCTCCTGGAAATATTCCTGCCTAACCCGGCTAGTATTTGTCATATACCTCCTCCTGGAATATTCCTGCCTAAACCCGGCTAGTATTTTGCCATATACCTCCTCCTGGAGATTTCCTGCCTAAACCCGGCTAGTATTTGTCATATACCTCCTCCTGGAAATTTCCTGCCTAAACCCGGCTAGTATTTGCCATATACCTCCTCCTGGAGATTTCCTGCCTAAACCCGGCTAGTATTTGTCATATACCTCCTCCTGGAAATGTCCTGCCTAAACCCGGCTAGTATTTGCCATATACCTCCTCCTGGAATATTCCTGCCTAAACCCGGCTAGTATTTGCCATATACCTCCTCCTGGAGATTTCCTGCCTAAACCCGGCTAGTATTTGCCATATACCTCCTCCTGGAATTTCCTGCCTAAACCCGGCTAGTATTTGCCATATACCTCCTCCTGGAAATGTCCTGCCTAAACCCGGCTAGTATTTGCCATATACCTCCTCCTGGAATATTCCTGCCTAAACCCGGCTAGTATTTGCCATATACCTCCTCCTGGAGATTTCCTGCCTAAACCCGGCTAGTATTTGCCATATACCTCTCCTCCTGGAATATTCCTGCCTAAACCCGGCTAGTATTTGCCATATACCTCCTCCTGGAAATATTCCTGCCTAAACCCGGCTAGTATTTGCCATATACCTCCTCCTGGAATATTCCTGCCTAAACCCGGCTAGTATTTGCCATATACCTCCTCCTGGAGATTTCCTGCCTAAACCCGGCTAGTATTTGCCATATACCTCCTCCTGGAAATGTCCTGCCTAAACCCGGCTAGTATTTGCCATATACCTCCTCCTGGAAATGTCCTGCCTAAACCCGGCTATACCCCAGTAGGATCATTTGATTGATCTTTTTTTTTAATCATTAACGGAGTCAAATTGCTATTTGTTTCTGACTCTTCTGATGAGGAAAACCCTTTGATGTGGACATGTTTTCCAAAATTCTAACTATAAATATGGTTTTCATTTTGGGAAAAAAATGTGCTTCTTATAATACATGTGGGCATCCCAAAATCGAATGTAGGTTTTAAATCCAATTGAACAAGAATTTTTTTTACAAATTTTGCATGAATTTGTTGGGTCCATAAAGAAACCATTGAACACCCTTACAAAAGGTTTTCTGAACTATTTTGGAAATGTTTTTTTTCTTTTGGTGCATGGCCAACTTAATAGACTTTAGAGACCAGGTTAGAGCTGAAGAATTCTGGAGAAGACAATTTAATCACATAGACAGGTATTAAAGAAACATTTGTTTTTACTGCATGTGCCTTACCCTGAGAGCTATCAAGTTCATGCTTGTGGTGCTGCTAATTTTTCTAGTGGACACCAAGTTGTGTATGAAATGGATAGGGTAATGTTAGACCATGAGAAGACGTTTCTTCCAGGAGATCAATGGTGGCTTCAGGACCTATTGCCTCACACAGAGCCCAGATGGGGCTTCTGTAACATGTAACTGTTGACTAGGCTAGAAAGAGTTGTGTAGGACCTAGATAAGGTCATAGAGCACCATGGGAAAACCTTGCTTCAAGGAGGTCACTGATGGCTTCAGGATCTGCTGCCTCACTTACAGCCTGGATACAGGCTTCTGAAATGTCCAACTGCTAACTATGCTAGGCAGAGTTGTGTATGACCTGGATAAAGCAACCCTAGAGCCATGGGAAAATTGCTCTTCATGGAGGTCACTATTGATGGCTTTGGGATCTGAAGCCTCACACACAGCCTGAATGAGGACCTCTGGAACATGCTATTGCTGGTGTGACTCTAACTTAACTGCAAAACTCTGAGAACATCCCAAAGGATAGAGAGATATTGGCACAATGTTTTTACAAATAATGTTATACTGTCTCCCAAACAGGTTTTGCCCTGATATCCATGAGGTCCAACATCCTCTTAAAAATAAGATGGAAAAGGGAAACACAGGGGCAAGCAGTAATCTAGACTAAGATCCCTTAACTGGGATCCATATTTCGTACCTAAAAAGACTTCCACCCCAATTTAGTTGGCAGCCACTGGAAAACTATTTGGAGAAAGGATTTCGGTTGGGTAAGGGCACAAGGTGGACTGCACTTGATGAAGTTGAACATATACAGATCCTGAGGGTGTTGTCTTTGCTAACATTACTTGGTCCTGGAAAGGAGGTTCCCCAGGGAACTGGCATAAAAAAATACAGCAGAAGATAACGGTTCTCCATCCGAGGTGGACAGCAGCAACTGTTAATGTACAAAACAGTTGTGTAATAGTTTTTTTTCTTGTTCACAACCACAGACTGATCAAAGTTCATATCTTAATACTCTGCCATGTCCAACACCAAGCAGCCCTAATCATAGGGCACCTCCATCCTCTGCCATGTCCAGCACAGCCCTAATCATGGGACACCTCTATACAATGCCATGTCCAGTTCCACCACCATGCAGCCCTAATCATTGGGCACCTTCATACTCTGTCATGCCTAGAGACACCCCACTGAAGCCCTAATCATGGGCCACCTTCAAACTCTGCCATGCCTATTGCCACCACCATGCAGTCCTAATCATAGGGCATCTCCATGCTCTAACCATGCCTAGTGCCACCACCAGGTAGCCTTAATCACGGGGCACCTCTATACTCTGCCATGCCTAGTGCCACCACCATGCTGCTCTAACCTCAGGGCACCTCCATACTCTGCCATGCCTAGTGCCACCACCATGCTGCCCTAACCACAGGGCACCTCCATACTCTGCCATGTCCAGTGCCACCACTATGCAGCCCTAATCATGAGGCACCTCCATACTCTGCAATTCCTAGTGTCACCACCAGGCTGCTCAAATCATGGGGCATCTTCATACTCTGCCATGTCTAGTGACACCACTAGGCAGCCCTAATCATGAGGCACCTCCATACTTTGCCATGCCTAGTGCCACCACCATGCTGCCCTAACCACAGGGCACCTACATACTCTGCCATGTCCAGTTCCACCACCATGCAACCCTAATCATGAGGCAGCTTAATTCTCTGTCATGTCTTGTTCTTGGTGTACAGTCTTCTGATCTGCACTTCTGTCTGGTTCTGATGTCAAGAAAATCAAAGCATAATAATAGTCGACTACACATAACACTGGAAGACAAGGAAATTAGCAATAAATGCAATCTTTATAGGGTCAGGGACTTTGCTCTCACTTGCTGTATGACATTGCCAGATAATCCATTAGTATTACACCATCTGCAGTCACAAGACACTCAGGCGATGGCCATAAAAGGAGGAATGCCTACAGCATGTACTATGAGACCTGTGCCATTGATTTACTGACATACCCAGCATGGCCCAGTTTAGTTTGTTGGGTCAGTCTTGCTTCAGGTGTGCAGAGACCAGGAGAAAAAATGGATTACAAATCCACAAGACACAACCTTCTAAGAGTCGTTTTCAGTTTTATGTATAAGGAAAGTATAGCAATAAATGTGGTGAGCAGATACTCACATTCATGTCCTAGGGTTGGGCAACCTGTTGTAGGACATGACGGTCTTTACTCCCAGTGCGGGTGGTTGCACTCAATGCTTGTCATGGTTTTCCAGAGATTCCTGCACTGAGCTCGGCTGTGATCAGATCCAGGTGAACAATGGTAAAGGAGTTGAGGGTTCTATGGTTGGAAAGGGCTGCTGTGGACTGTAAGAAGTGAAATCCGATGAATGAAAGGGTCGGGGCCAGGGAAAGTCAGGCTGGGGAGGAAAGTCTAGATGATGCTGGACATCCACCAGCCAGGAAATGTGTTTGGGGGGGGGGGGGTTTGCTATCTGACTTGTGGCAGATTCTTCTGCACATTGTGAGAAAGCTCCCAGCGTGCAGTGAAATCAGAGTAAGCTATTTCAGTCCAGGAGAGGCAACGGGTACACCTATGCAAGACTGAAGGGAAGGCCGGAGGTCAAATTTGAAGCTGGCCATACGTAGAGACTGCTGAACAATGTGAATGTTTTCAGCAGAATGACCGGCTGACCCTGCTGTGTGTGGGACATGATTAACCATATTATTATATTTTTTCTGTTTTTCTGTTTATTAGACACAATGAGGACTTTGCACAACATATAAGAATATGGCTATCCATGGCATACACAAAGTTGACCTCCCAAGAGTATAATATCATAGATCTCTGTGTTCCACCATCTTGAATCCATGAGCCTTCTCCATGCTCGCCAGCAGGGTTATGGTTGGGATGGGGTTAAGGGGCATAAAGTGTTGTTGCTCCACCCCCCCATGCATTGTTGGTTGGGTTGGATCATGTATCCAAAGGAACCAATCCATCAATCTGATGAGCCTACCTCATAGAGGAAGGACAGTGTTTGTCAGCAATGAAAATGAACAAGGACAGCCCAGATCGGAAAAGTGACCTTCTATAATGTTCAATCATCTCACAATCACACGTACAGGCACATGCCATCAAATAAAAAGTGACATCTGTGCAGAGGAAGTGAATACATGGAAGCCCCATCCTGGTGGGCCAAGCGGCAGGACAGTGCAAGGGATTGAGGTTCCCCTAGACCACGGTGAGGGTGAGGAGCTTGTGTGGAACACCTCCCGCCAAATACTGAATGCTGAAAATTGTCCTTTAGGAAATGGTTCAGCCCAGTTATCCTGCATGCATGCACCCAGCAGCTGCTCCCTCAGGCTCCATCGCACTGCTCCCCCCACCATGTGGAAGAATTCATAATTATGGGGAAAAGGATGGTGAGAGAGATTGGGGATTCAGGGGCAACCTGTCAGACCTGTGAGTTGGCCAGAGTTGTATGTATTATGGCCACGTTTGGCCGCCAGCTTTGATTCAATTGCCAAACAAATGACTTTGCTTTTTGGGTCTGGCAACGTTGACCTTGAATGTCACAACTCTGGTGGACGTGTCTGGCATACTATTCATCAATGTGACCCCTGAAAACCTCCTTGTCTTCACGTTGCCCATCAGATGCCGATGTGGAGCCCATAAAGAGCAGAATATAATGCACACAAAAGTTCTCTGTCCATAATGAGGTAATACTGATCTTCCAGCCGTTGTCCTCTGGCCAGAGTGAAGGCAGTTTGTGACATGAACCGTCTGTCTGCGGTCACAGCCGTCCCACAGATTGGTACTCGTCCAACCTCCGGTCCCCCGTGTCAACTGGTGCAGATGCTGTTTATAGAAACCGATCCAGGGTCTACCAGACCCAGTTCCTCTTGCTCGTTAACACACAACTGGTACCCACAGCCTTTTCTGCGTGCCAGGGGCGCCACTCTCCCATCTGGTTTGGCACGTGGTGGAAGGAGGAAGCCAACGCTGCGGCAATTAGCATGTGCCAGATGCTGTGGATGTAGAAGTAGTTTTCCTCCGTCTCGACAAAGGCGTACAGTGCCACGGCAGAACTGGCGATGAGGGTCCCTGGGCAGAGGTAGAAGAGCCATCGTTTCCATGTTGGGGGGTAACAGTGGCGTCTCCGGATCGTCCTGAATGTCTGACAACAGAAAGAACATTCAGTATACAGATAATACACAATACAGAAGCAGCTGTCACATTGTATATCCTGCAGATCTGCTGATATACTACAAAGCTCCCAGACACATCGGAGCCACCTCTGGTCTCCTGCTGTGTCATGAAGCCAAACTGTCTAGAGCCTTTTCCTTCCAGATTTCCCAGAAGGTGACAAATCTTATTGGCATCCAGGTGTCACCTCCTTCCAGAGGAAGCTCTGTCCCTTTCAGATGCTAATTGGTGACCATATGTCTCTGACTTAATTCTGAACACATCTTATATTATTATAACATGGACTGAAGCTAAACCTACATTGTCATATTTCTACAGATCACATCTCAGCTACTCATATCTTACATGTACGTTACAAGGGGTCACCGGCAGGAGGAAGGGGGTCCTGATTCCTCTATATAGATCCTATCACTAGAGGGGTCACGGCAGGAGGAAGGAGGTCCTGATTCCTCTATATAGATATTTATATCACTAGAGGGGTCACCGGCAGGAGGAAGGAGGTCCCGATTCCTCTATATAGATCTTTATATCACTAGAGGGGTCACCGGCAGGAGGAAGGAGGTCCTGATTCCTCTATATAAGATCCTATCACTAGAGGGGTCACCGGCAGGAGGTCCTGACTCCTCTTTAAATATATAGGTCACTTTATAGATGGGTCACCGGCAGGAGGAAGGAGGTCCTGACTCCTCTATATAGATCCTATCACTAGAGGGGTCACCGGCAGGAGGAAGGAGGTCCTGATTCCTCTATATAGATCTATCACTAGAGGGGTCACCGGCAGGAGGAAGGAGGTCCTGATTCCTCTATATAGATCTTTATATCACTAGAGGGGTCACCGGTAGGAGGAAGGAGGTCCTGATTCCTCTATATAGATCTTTAGTTAGACCTCATTTAGAACACTGTGTCCAGCTTTGGAGACCTCACTTCCAACAAGACAGAATGGCCCTGATTTACTAACGTACATAGAGGGCATCTTGGTGCATTTCCGTGGGCTAAAGTCTACTTTCCATTGGAATCCATCTACTGTTAGACGGCAAAGACATTTACTAAAGAAAGCATCTAACAGACGCGAAAGCGAATTTACTAATGGCCACAATAAAGGAATCCGTCTAAAAAAGCAGATGTCCTAGAATCACGTCTAAAGGAACGAGAAATCGCTGTATAAACGTTCACCTTGAAATTTGGATTCCCAAACATCTGGACTTAACTTTAAAGAATATATTCCTTCAAAAAAAAATAATTCAGTTGGTAAAAAAAAACAGTTTTTTGGGGGAATTCATGTTTGTCAAGAAACAGATGCCTTTCCAACGTCTGTGCACTGATAGAAATGCGCAGAACCACATTTAGCCGTGTGCCGCGGGCGCTCTTCTTTTAGGCCGTGTCTTATAGTGAATCTGTGTGTGTGGAGTCCTCCTGAAGACGGCAATCGCGACGACAACTGAGTTTCACAAACCGCGCGATTTGTAGCTCGGTAGATCTCATGTATTCGAATTTGGTTTCCTTAATTCTATTGATTCTATTTTTGTTTCTTATCCTTTATAATGATTTTCTGTGACGGTTTTACATGATATTTATTCATATTTCTGTGCAATTCGCTCGAAATCTTGTGAATTTGACATACAGTATCACATTTCGAAGATCTACATAATATATATTATTGACAGCTGAATCTAAAAATAAAGGTCAGCAATTGAAAAGAAAAATGGCGTGGTGTCCCCCCTCCCATACATAACATGGCCTTCAGGTCTGGTTTGGATTTTGAGGGGAAGCCCCGCGCCAAAATTAATTGCGCCCCCCCAAAATCCATACCAGACCCTGATCTGAGCATGCATCCCCGGCAGGTCAGGAAAGGGGAGGGACAAGCAAGCACTCCTCCCCTTCTGAACCATACCAGACCACATGCCCTTAACATGGGGGGGTGCTTTGGGGCAGGGGGGCTCCCTTCACCAAAGCACCTTGTCCCCATGTTGATGGGGACAAGGGCCTCTTCCCCACAACCCTGGCCGGTGGTTGTGGGGTTCTGTGGGCAGGGGGCTTATCAGAATCTGGAAGCCCCCTTTAGCAAGGGGGCCCTCAGATCCCAACCCCCCATGTGAATGAGTATGGGGTACATGGTACCGCTACTCATTCACGAAAAACAAAAATTGTAGTGTGAAAAAAGACAGGAGACGGTCTTTGACAAGTGCTTTATTAAAAGAAAAAAGTAAACGAATGTCCCCCCCCCCCCTCAGTAGATCCAACGTCAATCACAATGTACGCCCCGAAAAAAGAATTTAAAAAAAAGTCTCTGCTCCCGTCGATGGCTCCCGGCCGTCTGTCTGCTCCTCTGGCTTCACAGTTTTTAAATATGTAAGGGGCGGAGCCACCCAGGGACATCACCAGTGTGACCCCACCCTTGTGACATCATCAAACGGGGAATGCTGGCTCATTGATGTCACATGGGGTGGGGTCACATGCGTGATGTCCCCGGGTGGCCCCGCCCCTTACATATTTCAGAACGGTCAAGTCAGAGGAGCAGACAGACGGCCGGGAGCCAGCGTTGGGAGCGCAGACTTTTTTAAGTCTTTTTTTGGGTCGGTGGCGGTGGACATTGTGACTGACGTTGGGTCTACTGCGGGGGGCATTCTTTTAGTTTTCTTCTCTTAATAAAGGACTTGTCATAGACCATCTCCTGTCTGTTTTTACACTACACCTTTTTTTTTTGTGAATGGGTAGTGGTACTCTGTACCTCATACTCATTCACTTAGGGGGGGCTGGGATCTGGGGACCCCCTTGCTTCCGGATTTCGATAAGCCCCCCCCCCCCCCACTCACAGACCCCCACAACCACAGTCCAGGGTTGTGGGGAAGAGGCCTTTTTCCCCATCAACATGGGGACACGGTGCTTTGTGGGGGAGCCCCCCTGCCCCAAAGCAGCCCCATGTTGAGGGCATGTGGTCTAGTATGGTTTTGGAGGGGGGGGGCGCGCTCTCTCGTCCCCCCCTTTTCCTGACCTGTCGGGTTGCATGCTCAGATAAGGGTCTGGTAGGGATTTTGGGGGGGACGCCCATGCCATATTTTTTTAATTTGGCGTGGGGCTCCCCTCAAAATCCAAACCGGATCCGAAGGGCTTGGTATGACGGAGGAGGGACGCTGTTTTTTTAATAATTTTTTAATTGCCGGCAATTCTTTTACATTTAGCTGTCAGTGGGGAACTCACAGCTGCAACATTAACTGCATGCCGCCCAGACACTGTACATATACGGCGGCAGGGCGGCACTCGCAGGCAAAACCACGTTTTAAAACGTGTGTTTTGTAAACAAATAGGGCGGTGGCGCGCCTCGCGTGCGCTCCCTATCTGTCCCGCCGATCACCGCCGGGGATGTCAGTGGCCGGGTCACAGCCGCTCCTTAGTAGCTATGTCCCGGCGATCAGCGGCAAACAGTGACAGAGAGCACAGCTGCAGTAGCTGTGCTGTCTGTCACTTCCCTGTCAGCTCGAGGATGAACTGATCAAGAGAACAGTTTTCTCTTTCTCAATCAGCGGTGTCCTGCCCAGTACATACCCCCTAGTAAAACACTCCCCCTCACTCCTATAACCCTTCCCTGCAAAAGTAAACTTAACCCCTTCCTCCCCAGTGCCATTAGTACAGTGTCAGTGTTTTTTTTTTTTTGCACTGATCACTGTATTAGTGTTTTTGGGGATGTCACTGACCCCAAGTCAGTACCCCCCAATGTCAGAATGTCCGCCGCAGTCCCGCCGTAAGTCGCTGGTCGCCGCCATTAGTCACTGATCGTCGCCATTATTAGTATAAAAAAAACCCTAAAAATCCCAGTATCTTTCCCGCCATTTGTAAACGCTATAACTTTCACGTAAACCAATTCATTTACACGTATTGGGTTTTTTTTTAGCAAAGACATGTCGCAGAATGCATTTTGGCAGAAATTTATGACTAAATTTGATTTTTGCTTTTTTTTTTTACTGGACATGTTTTATAGCAAAAAGTCCAAAATATTGCTTTTTTTTTCCTCAAAATTGTCAGCCTTTTTTTTTATAGCGCAAAAAATAAAAACCGCACAGGTGATCAAATACCACCGAAAGAAAGATCAATTTGTGGGAAAAAAAGATGTAAATTTCATTTATGACCGACCGCGCAATTGTCCGTTAAACTAGCGCAGCGCTGTATAGCAGAAAAATGGCGTAAATTGCAGTATCTCTCCCATAGTTTGTATCTCTATAACTGTCACACAAAGCAATCAATATACACTTATTGGGATTTTTTTTACCAAAAACATGGAGCAGAATACATTTTGGCCTAAATTTATAACCAACTTTGAGTTTACTATATATTTTTTTATAGCTGAAAGTAAAAAATATTGTTTTTCTTCAAAATTTTTGGTCTTTTTTTGTATATAGCGTGAAAAATAAAAAGCGCACAGCTGATCAAATTTCACCAAAAGAAAGCTCCATTGGTGTGAAAAAAAGGATGTAAATTTCGTTTGGGTGCAGCGTTGCATGACCGCGCAATTATCAGTTGAATTAGTGCAGCGCCGAGTAGCAAAAAGAGGCGTGGTCATTAAGGGGGGGGGGGGGAAATTCTCAGGAGGGGGAGGGGTTAAGATGACCAGATAATACGCAATCAGATTGATGAAAAGTCAGCGCAATGTCCTTCACGTGTAGCTAAAGTCTGTAATAGGAGGACCTACCGGAACAAGGCATCCATATAGTGGGCGGGGCCCATACAGTACATCATGGAGGCTTGCTACGAAGGAACTTTCACCTTTGGATACCTGAGCTCATGTGATTTGGGTCCAAAGATTTCTGGCCATTGCAACGTATTGACTAATAAAGAAAAGTGAGCCTTGTCCATAGAATAGCCACTGGGAGGTCCATTGGGGAAATGAGAATTTGGGATGCTTTATAATACTAAGGGGTTCATGCTTGCTTCAGGGGAAACATTACTAATACCTGAGGTCATCACAGAGGACAAGGGGGCGCTCTTTACATCTGGAGGAGGAGAAGAAATGTCATCTCCAAACACGGAAAGGATTCTTCACAGTAAGAGCTGTGAGAATGTGGAATAGACTCCCTCCAGAGTTGGTTGTGGCCAGCTCAGTGGATTGCTGTAGGAAAGTCCTGGATTCTTTCTTGGATACACAGAATATAACTGGATATAACATTTATAGGGAACGTTGATCCCGGGAATATCCGATTGCCTCTCGGGGGATCAGGAAGGAATGTTTCCTCTGCAGGAGCACATTGGATCGTGCTTTGCTGGGTTTCTGCCTTCCTCTGGATCAACTGTCGGTGTAGGATTATAACTTTATTATGGTTGAACTGGATGGACTTTTGTCTTTTTTCAGCCAGACTAACTATGTAACTATGTAACTATATAACTATGTAACTATGTAACTATGTAACTATGTAACTATGTAACTATGTAACTATGTAACTATGTAACTATATAACTATGTAACTATGTAACTATGTAACTATATAACTATGTAACTATGTAACTATATAACTATATAACTGTGTAACTATGTAACTATGTAACTATGTAACTATATAACTATATAACTATATAACTATGTAACTATATAACTATATAACTGTGTAACTATGTAACTATGTAACTATGTAACTATATAACTATATAACTATGTAACTATATAACTATATAACTGTGTAACTGTGTAACTGTGTAACTATATAACTATGTAACTATATAACTATGTAACTATGTAACTATATAACTACTGTAACTATGTAACTATATAACTATGTAACTATATAACTATATAACTATGTAACTATATAACTATGTAACTATATAACTATATAACTATGTAACTATATAACTATGTAACTATGTAACTATATAACTATGTAACTATGTAACTATGTAACTATGTAACTATGTAACTGTGTAACTGTGTAACTATATAACTATGTAACTATATAACTATAATAACTATGTAACTATATAACTATGTAACTATGTAACTAACTATGTAACTATATAACTATGTAACTATATAACTATGTAACTATATATATGTAACTAGATAACTATGTAACTATATAACTATATAACTATGTAACTATATAACTATATAACTATGTAACTATATAACTATATATGTAACTATGTAACTATGTAACTAACTATATAACTATATAACTATATAACTATGTAACTATGTAACTATATAACTATGTAACTATATAACTATGTAACTATGTAACTATATAACTATGTAACTATGTAACTATATAACTATATAACTATGTAACTATATAACTATGTAACTGTGTAACTATATAACTATATAACTATGTAACTATATAACTATGTAACTATATAACTATATAACTATGTAACTATGTAACTATATAACTATGTAACTATGTAACTATATAACTATGTAACTATGTAACTATATAACTATGTAACTATATGTAACTATGTAACTATATAACTATATAACTATGTAACTATATAACTATATAACTATGTAACTATATAACTATATAACTATGTAACTATATAACTATATAACTATGTAACTATATAACTATGTAACTATATAACTATATAACTATGTAACTGTGTAACTATATAACTATGTAACTATATAACTATGTAACTATGTAACTATATAACTATGTAACTATGTAACTATATAACTATATAACTATGTAACTATATAACTATGTAACTGTGTAACTATATAACTATATAACTATGTAACTATATAACTATGTAACTATATAACTATATAACTATGTAACTATATAACTATGTAACTGTGTAACTATATAACTATAATATAACTATGTAACTATATAACTATGTAACTATATAACTATATAACTATGTAACTATATAACTATATAACTATGTAACTGTGTAACTATATAACTATGTAACTATGTAACTATATAACTATGTAACTATGTAACTATGTAACTATATAACTATATAACTATGTAACTATATAACTATATAACTATGTAACTATATAACTATATAACTATGTAACTGTGTAACTATATAACTATGTAACTATATAACTATATAACTATGTAACTGTGTAACTATATAACTATGTACTATATATATAACTATGTAACTATATATAACTATATAACTATGTAACTGTGTAACTATATAACTATGTAACTATATAACTATGTAACTGTGTAACTATATAACTATGTAACTATGTAACTATATAACTATGTAACTATGTAACTATATAACTATGTAACTATATAACTATGTAACTATGTAACTGTGTAACTATATAACTATGTAACTATATAACTATGTAACTGTGTAACTATATAACTATATAACTATGTAACTATATAACTATGTAACTATATAACTATATAACTATGTAACTATATAACTATATAACTATGTAACTATATAACTATATAACTATATAACTATGTAACTATGTAACTATATAACTATATAACTATGTAACTATATATCTATATAACTATGTAACTATGTAACTATGTAACTATGAATAATTGTATCTTCAGGAGGAAACGTGTCCAATTCCTAGATCCATTGAGGTACATAGCAGAGGTTCAATTTATTCCATAGAAGAAGTGATTGTTCTTCCAAACTATACTGGTGGCACCAGGGGCGGACCGACAACTCATGGGGCCCCCGGGAAATAGGGGATCATGGGGCCCCTGTGTCCTTGCCCAAACTCAAAAAAGCCTATGAAAAAGGTTCCAGGGGCATCTCATGGGGCCCCCTACTGCCCCCGGGCAGTGCCTGAGTTTCCAAATGGTCAGTCCGCCCCTGGGTGGCACAGACACAAGCATACACCAGTCAGCTCCTCTACGCTCTCTCCACTTTCTAGTCAGTAGCCAAACTCTTCACTGATTGATCGATATTCCCGGCACTGACACAACCCTGGAAACGGACCTCCATATTTCATCCAATCACAACAGTCTGTAATGACAAGGAGCTTACAATCTAAGGCCAGAAACTCAGACATATAATGGGCCCAATGAACCTAACAGCATGTCCTTGGAGTGTTGGCAGAAACACACCCGTACAGGGAAAGCATGCAAACTCCAGGCAGGTGCAGCCATGACTGGGATTACAACCCATGACCCCAGTGCTGCAAGCCCTGAGTGCTGACCACTGAGCCGCTGTAACAGAGTGTGAGGGAATGTAGAATAGTTACATGATTAACCCCTTGGTGCCGGCGCCTCCCAGCCCTTTAAGGGTTTCAGAAGCCGGGGGGGCGGGGTTTTAGGGTCATGCGACCGCCATGATTCGGCGTCACGGCGGTCACATAATCGGGAAAGGTCCTGCATGACTTTGTAACTTTCATTAGGAAATGCATTAGTTGGCCGATCATTTTTGGAGAAAAAAAAAGAGGCAAGAAAATTAATAGAGGCAACAAACCCCCCCCCCCCCCAAAAAATAAAAATAAAAAGCCATTAAAACAATCACACCTGCGAGTTTTCTCATCTGGCATATGAAAGGGACAAACCCCGCGCTAGTGCGCCACCTAGGCACCGTATCTGGCATTGCTCCTACAACTGCGCCTACGGACAGTCTACCCCAAGACGTTTTCTGGTGACCACTGAAAGGTCCTCATTGATTGAATTGGCTGCGGCTGAATGTTCAGCGTCTGATGTCGGACACTATTCTTAGTAAATCAGGGCCCACAAGTCTGGAGATGGGCAACAAAAATGGTGAAAGGTTCTTCAGATAAAACATATCAGGAGAGACTGTAGGAACATAACACTACATGTACAGTCTGGAGGAAACGAAGGAAAGGATGGAACTGACTGGAAACCTTCAATCCATGAAAGGGTGACAAGGGTTCAGGAGGGCAGGATTTTCATTATGAGGCCAAGATCAAGACACGGGGACATGACCCGGCAGATCAGGCCATAAACATGGAGATGGTCCTCCAATCCCACCCATGGACAGATCTGCTGGACATTCACATACCCAGGCGACGGCCATGATCCCCACTGCGAATAGACTGGGCCCCAACAGGTTCCACAAGCCATGACGATCCAGCTGAAGAGCCATTGAAAGCAACATCGCCCCCAGCAGGTACAAAACCTAAAAGAGAACAGAAGAGACTGTCAGTGGTACGGTGAATGTCCCCCTTGTCTGAACTGTGTGCCTGCACCCCGAAAACCCTGACAGGTACAGAAACACATTACAGGGAGGAGTGCAGTGAGCCCCCTGCAGGTACACAGACGTATTACAGGCAGGAGGAGTGCAGTGAGCCCTCTGCTGGTACACAGACGTATTACAGGAGGAGTGCAATGAGCCCTCTGCTTGCGTATTACAGGGAGGAGGATTGCAGAGAGCCCCCTGCAGGTACACAGACATATTACAGGGAGGAGTACAGTGAGCCCTCTGCTGGTACACAGACATATTACAGGGAGGAGTACAGTGAGCCCTCTGCTGGTACACAGACATATTACAGGGAGGAGGAGTGCAGTGAGCCCTCTGCTGGTACAGAGACATACTACAGGAAGGAGAGGTGCAGTGCTCTCCCTGTAGTTGCTGAGATACAGTGCAGGAAATGCGTATTTGCCCCCCCTGATGGTGAATGTTCGCCCCTCACACAGAAACGATCGGTCTAACAATGGAATGTTCGCCCCTCACACAGAAATGATCGGTCTAACAATGGAATGTTCGCCCCTCACACAGAAATGATCGGTCTAACAATGGAATGTTCGCCCCTCACACAGAAATGATCGGTCTAACAATGGAATGTTCTCCCCTCACACAGAAATGATCGGTCTAACAATGGAATGTTCTCCCCTCACACAGAAACGATCGGTCTAACAATGGAATGTTCGCCCCTCACACAGAAAACGATCGGTCTAACAATGGAATGTTCGCCCCTCACACAGAAATGATCGGTCTAACAATGGAATGTTCTCCCCTCACACAGAAATGATCGGTCTAACAATGGAATGTTCGCCCCTCACACAGAAATGATCGGTCTAACAATGGAATGTTCGGTGTAACACTGAGAGACAGAATACAACAACAAATTCAGCAGAAATGCGTCTAACAAATGATGACGGATCTGCATGTTCATGAGGGAAAGAAGGATTTGATCCCCTATCATTCAGCAGGATTGCTGGCTACCAGGTGTCTTTCATACAGGTAACAAGCTGAGATTAGAAGCAGTCTCTTAAAGGGAGTGCTGCTAATCTCATTGTGTTACCTGTATAAAAGACACCTGTCCACAGGAGCCATCAAACCATCAGATTCCAAACTCTCCACCATGGCAAAGACCAAAGAGCTGTCCAGGGATGTCAGGGACAAGATGGTAGACCTACACAAGGCTGGACTGGGCTACCAAACTATGGCCAAGCAGCTTGGTGAGAAGGTGACAACAGTTGGTGCAATCATTCACAAATGGAAGAAACACAAAACAAGTGTCAGTCTCCCTAGGTCTGGTGCACCATGCAAGATCTCACCTCGTGGAGTGTCAATGATCATGAGAACAGTGAGGAATCATCCCAGAACTACACGTGAGGATCTTGTCAATGATCTCCAGGCAGCTGGGACCACAGTCACCAAGAAAACAATTGGGAACACACTACGCCGACAAGGACTGAAATCCTGCAGTGCCCGCACGGTCCCTCTGCTCAAGAAAGCCCATGTCCAGGCCCGTCTGAAGTCTGCCACTGAACATCTGAATGATGCAGGGGAGGACTGGTGGGAAGTGTTGTGGTCAGAGGAGACCAAAATCCAGCTCTTTGGCATCAACTCAACTCGTCGTGTTTGGAGGAGGAGGAATGCTGCCTATGACCCCAAGAACACCATCCCAACTGTGAAACATGGTGATGGAAACATTCTGCTTTGGGGGTGTTTTTCTGCTAAGGGGACAGGTCAACTGCACCACATCAAAGGGACGATGGGCGGGGCAATGTACCCTCAAATCTTGGGTGAGAACTTTCTTCCCTCAGCCAGGGCATTGAAAATGGGTGGTGGATGGGTGTTCCAGCATGACAATGACCCAAAACACACGGCCAAGGCAACAAAGGAGCGGCTCAAGAAGAAGCACATTAAGGTCCTGGAGTGGCCTAGCCAGTCTCCACACCTTCATCCGATGGAAAATCTGTGGAGGGAGCTGAAACTTTGAGTTGCCAAACGTCAGCCACCGAACCTTAATGACTTGGAGAGGATCTGCCAAGAGGAGTGGGCCAAAATCCCTCCTGAGATGTGTGCGAACCTGGGGGCCAACTCCAGGTAATGTCTGACCTCTGTGATTGCCAACAAGGGATTGGCCACCAAGTACTAAGTCATGTTTTGTGAAGGGGATCAAATCCAGGAAGGAGAGGTGCAGTGCTCCCCCTGCAGGTATAGAGACATATTACAGGAAGGAGAGGTGCAGTACTCCCCCTGCAGGCACACAGACATATTACAGGAAGGAGAGGTGCAGTGCTCCTCCTGCAGGTACACAGACATATTACAGGAAGGAGAGGTGCAGTGCTCCCCCTGCAGGCACACAGACATATTACAGGAAGGAGAGGTGCAGTGCTCCTCCTGCAGGTACACAGACATATTACAGGAAGGAGAGGTGCAGTGCTCCCCCTGCAGGTACACAGACACATTACAGGAAGGAGAGGTGCAGTGCTCCCCCTGCAGGTACACAGACACATTACAGGAAGGAGAGGTGCAGTGCTCCCCCTGCAGGTACACAGACACATTACAGGAGGAGAGGTGCAGTGCTCCCCCTGCAGGTACACAGACACATTACAGGAAGGAGAGGTGCAGTGCTCCCCCTGCAGGTACACAGACACATTACAGGAAGGAGAGGTGCAGTGCTCCCCCTGCAGGTACACAGACATATTACAGGAGGAGAGGTGCAGTGTACACAGACATATTACAGACATGTACCCCCTGCAGGTACACAGACATATTACAGGAGGAGAGGTGCAGTGCTCCCCCTGCAGGTACACAGACATATTACAGGAGGAGAGGTGCAGTGCTCCCCCTGCAGGTACACAGACATATTACAGGAGGAGAGGTGCAGTGCTCCTCCTGCAGGTACACAGACATATTACAGGAGGAGAGGTGCAGTGCTCCCCCTGCAGGTACACAGACATATTACAGGAAGGAGGTGCAGTGCTCCCCCTGCAGGTACACAGACATATTACAGGAAGGAGAGGTGCAGTGCTCCCCCTGCAGGTACACAGACATATTACAGGAGGAGAGGCGCAGTGCTCCCCCTGCAGGTACACAGACATATTACAGGAGGAGAGGTGCAGTGAGCCCCCTGCAGGTACACAGACACATTACAGGAAGGAGAGGTGCAGTGCTCCCCCTGCAGGTACACAGACATATTACAGGAGGAGAGGCGCTCCCTTTCAGAATTCCTCTTACCTGTTTGATGATTGGTTGCAGTCTGGCCATACTGATTACCGTCACCCACACAGACATGAGAGAGCCGAGGAAATCGCAGAACTGCAGCACGTCATACTCCATGATACAGAAGACCACAATTCCAGGCTGGTCACAGGCGTGATAGAACTGGGGGGGAGAGATCACATGGTGTGACACACATCTACACGGAACACGCCATGCAGGAGAATAATCAGGACCGGCCAGATGTGATTATTGGGATGGCTCTGGATGTAGATCCCGGAATCCAGATCTGATTTATAATGATGTGATTCATCTCTGCTTAGATACATTTTTATCTAGATTGTAACGAGATTTATATATAGAGAAATCTGCAGATCTATAGATCGGGGCGACCCACACTCACCGTGGAGAAGAACATGGTGAAGATGTAGACGGAGGCTTCTAGGAGGTAGTGACCCCGGAAGGCGATGAGGACGGGTGGAAGGAACATCAGGTTACTGAGGCACAGGAGGAGGGTGGAAAGGAGCTGGAAACCGTATGTGAAGGCTTGGCTGTTATCCGTACATCCCCATCCGCTCCACCCTGAGAGAGAGACAGCATGGAGAGATCAGACATGGATCTACCCGGGACCACCATCCCATCATGTACAGTGCTATGACCACACATGTGCAACACGCAAGATTTCATTTCCTTTCGGATGCATTCATTAATGTAAGAATTTTGTTCGGATGCATCGGATTCATTTTCGGAATTTGTTTCGTACCTTCAGCGTTCGTTTCATTTCATTCAAGGAATAGTGGTTGTTAAGGAGCAGGCGACCGCCGAGTCCTTAACAACCATGACTCATCTGCTGTCTGCGGGTTTTGCTGACAGCAGAACGTAAACAAAAAATGGCGGCATTAAAAAATTTAAAAAAAAAAACCCTTGTGGGGTGTTACAGACCCCAGTCTCCCGCGACTGGGTTTCTCCGTCAAGAAGCTGCTTCTCTGGCTCTCGAACACAAGACCAGTGAGTATGGCTATTGCTACCCCAAGATCCAGACAACACCAGTCTTGGAGTAAACCAGGAGGTAGACTACTTTATTTGAACACAGATACAAGATATATACACTCAGGGGACAATCCCCCCTCCTGCATAATGACACAGGGCGGGACAATCCCCCCTCCCTGCATAATGACACAGGGCGGGACAATCCCCCCTCCCTGCATAATGACACAGGGCGGGGCAATCCCCCCTCCCTGCATAATGACACAGGGCGGGACAATCCCCCCTCCCTGCATAATGACACAGGGCGGGACAATCCCCCCTCCTGCATAATGACACAGGGCGGGGCAATCCCCCCTCCCTGCATAATGACACAGGGCGGGACAATCCCCCCTCTCTGCATAATGACACAGGGCGGGACAATCCCCCCTCCTGCATAATGACACAGGGCGGGGCAATCCCCCCTCCCTGCATAATGACACAGGGCGGGGCAATCCCCCCTCCCTGCATAATGACACAGGGCGGGGCAATCCCCCCTCTCTGCATAATGACACAGGGCGGGACAATCCCCCCTCCCTGCATAATGACACAGGGCGGGGCAATCCCCCCTCCCTGCATAATGACACAGGGCGGGGCAATCCCCCCTCTCTGCATAATGACACAGGGCGGGGCAATCCCCCCTCCCTGCATAATGACATGGCGGGACAATCCCCCCTCCCTGCATAATGACACAGGGCGGGGCAATCCCCCCTCTCTGCATAATGACACAGGGCGGGGCAATCCCCCCTCTCTGCATATGACACAGGGCGGGGCAATCCCCCCTCTCTGCATAATGACACAGGGCGGGACAATCCCCCCTCTCTGCATAATGACACAGGGCGAGACAATCCCCCTCCCTGCATAATAACACAGGGCGGGGCAATCTACATTTAGTAACAAGAGACACACAGGTATTCAAACTTCACACCAGCTGACAGTCCCATCCCTCCCTGCATAATGACATCCCCCCCCCTGCATAATGACACAGGGCGGGGCAATCCCCCCTCCCTGCATAATGACACAGGGCGGGGCAATCCCCCCTCTCTGCATAATGACACAGGGCGGGACAATCCCCCCTCTTTGCATAATGACACAGGGCGGGACAATCCCCCCCCTCCCTGCATAATGACACAGGGCGGGACAACCCCCCCTCTCTGCATAATGACACAGGGCGGGACAATCCCCCCTCCCTGCATAATGACACAGGGCGGGACAATCCCCCCTCTCTGCATAATGACACAGGGCGGGGCAATCCCCCTTCCCTGCATAATGACACAGGGCGGGGCAATCCCCCCTCTCTGCATAATGACAAAGGGGGGACAATCCCCCCTCTCTGCATAATGACACAGGGCAGGGCAATCCCCCTCTCTGCATAATGACACAGGGCGGGGCAATCCCCCCTCCCTGCATAATGACACAGGGCGGGGCAATCTACATTTAGTAACAAGAGACACACAGGTATTCAAACTCACACCAGGTGACAGTCCCATCAGGAGGGAGGGCTGCTGGAGACACCCTAACCAAGCCAATACACATAAACACATAATCCCATAATAGTTTGCTCCCAAGGGCCCCCCACACAATAGAACAATGGGATGCAACCACATGACATTACACAATCCACAACCCCCCACCCCAATATTAGGAAAGATCACCCTGTACCCCTAACAGGCACAGGGTGACTTACACATAAGAGGGATATGGGGAGCTGAGACAGGGGTCTCCCCACCTCTCCAAAGTGAGCTGTGTTCCATGGCCCCCCACCCAAAGTGACACCCGTCACACGGGGTGCCCGCCAATCCATATCAGGCTCTTCGGGTCTAGTATGGATTTTGGGTGGACCCCACAACAATTGTTTTTTTAGTTTTGGCATGGGATCCCTGATAAAATTCATAACAGACCCTAGTACCCCCCGCCTTCATGAACCATATCAGGTTGCATGCCCTCAACATGGGGAGGGTGCTTTGAGGTGCCCCCCAAAGCACCTTGTCCCCTTGTTGATGAGGACAAAGGTTTCTTCCACACAACCCTTGCCCAGTGGTTTTGGGGGGTGACTGAGCAGATTCTGTAAGCCCCATTTAACAACAGGACCCTGCTCCCCCCATGTGAATGATGATGGGGTATGTAGTACCCTCTATTAATTCACCAAAAAAGTGTCAAAAAAATAAAAAACAACAACAGCGTTTGAGAAGTCTTTTATTAAAAAAAAAACCGATCCAATGTCAATCATGACGAGCATACGAAAACCCCCAAAAAACTCTTCATTGATTGTTTACATTCTGCTGTCGGGGAATCCCACTGACTGCAGATGAGTCATTGTTGTTAAGGACATGGCGGCCTCCCACTCCCTAACAACCAGCTTCACAATGAATCCAAATGATACGAAATTAACAAATGCATTTGTTAATTTAATTTCAAATATTTTTAATTTGTTTACATTCCGTAATATGGCCAGTTAAAAATTCGGATACACTGAATCCCCGAAAATAACATTTCTGAAAAACAAATGTAAATGAACTAAAACACACATGTCTAGTTCTGACCACACCCAGGGACCGCCATCCCAATCCACCCATGCTGACTGACAGAGGTGACAGTGCCCCACCCCTAGACCCCTCAGTACAACCAAATTTCCCCCCAGCGTCCCCCTCAGTCTACTGCCTGAATACTTCCACACCAGCCCTGCCCCCACTGACTGACAGAGGTGACACTGCCCCACCCCTAGACCCCTCAGTGCCACCATTCTCCCCAGTGTCCCCCTCAGTACAACCAACTACTTCCCCCCAGCGCCCCCCTCAGTCTACTGCCTGAATACTTCCACACCAGCCCTGTCCCTGCACTGACTGACAGAGGTGACACTGCCCCACCCCTAGACCCCTCAGTACAACCAACTTTCCCCCCAGCGCCCCCCTCAGTCTACTGCCTGAATACTTTCACACCAGCCCTGCCCCCACTGACTGACAGAGGTGACACTGCCCCACCCCTAGACCCCTTAGTGCCACCATTCTCACCAGCATCCCCCTCAGTCAACTGCCTGAATACTTCCACACCAGCCCTGCCCCCACTGACTGACAGAGGTGACACTGCCCCCCCCTAGACCCCTCAGTGCCACCATTCTCCCCAGTGTCCCCCTCAGTACAACCAACTTTCCCCCCAGCGCCCCCCCAGTCTACTGCCTGAATACTTCCACACCAGCCCTGTCCCTGCTGACTGACAGAGGTGACACTGCCCCACCCCTAGACCCTCAGTAGTACAACCAAATTTCCCCCCAGCGTCCCCCTCAGTCTACTGCCTGAATACTTCCACACCAGCCCTGCCCCCACTGACTGACAGAGGTTGACACTGCCCCACCCCTAGACCCCTCAGTGCCACCATTCTCACCAGCATCCCCCTCAGTCTACCTGAATACTTCCACACCAGCCCTGTCCCTGCTGACTGACAGAGGTGACACTGCCCCACCCCTAGACCCCTCAGTACACCCAACTTTCCCCCCAGCGTCCCCCTCAGTCTACTGCCCGAATACTTCCACTCCAGCCCTGCCCCCACTGACTGACAGAGGTGATACTGCCCCACTCCTAGACCCCTCAGTGCCACCATTCTCCCCGGTGTCCCCCTCAGTCTACTGCTCGAGTACTTCCACACCAGCCCTGCCCCCGCTGATTGACAGAGGTGACACTGACCTACCCCAAGACCCCCTCAGTGCTGCCATCCTCCTCCGTCTTCTGCTTGAATACTTCCAGACCAGCCCCACCCCCACCAACTGACACGGGAGAAACTACCCCACCGTTAGACCCCTTAGTGTCACCATACTCCTTGGTGATCTTGACTGTCTACTGCTTGAATACTTCCAGACCAGCTCCTCCCCCGCTGACCGATAAGGTGACCTGCGTCCTACCTGCTCGGCACTCGCAGGCAGCGTAGAGGTAGTTGTTGGTCCTCAGCAGTTTGCACTGTCCATATGTTCCGCACTCATTAATACATGGCGAGAGGAAAGTGCGCAGGTTCAGCTCAGCACTGACGTTGTGACATGGCCGCCACCTGCAGGGAACGGACAAGGTGGGGGGATCAATCCTTTCCACATACAGCAGATATTCAGTATACAGATATTCATCCCATTGGGATCAGCTCCGTATACGACCAATGGGTGACCATCCCCCAGGCTGTCTCTGATTTGTCTACGTGCTCTATCATTATGGAGAACATTTATGAATCTTTACATAAAAGCTTGTCTTCTGCCAGCAAGGTCTCTGTGGGGAAGCAGTGGTCTCTCTGCAGAGGTCTGACACACCCTAGCTGAAGCAGAGATAGAGCCCTCCAGTCATCAAGGAGCATGAGCTTTGCTGATTGGAGAGTTCTAGCTCTGGTTCAGTTGGACCTCTGCAAAGAGACCCAAAAACTTCATAGCTACTATCGATGTTGGGAAAGAAAATCACTTAAACATCTAGAAGTCGTTTCATAGACATAGAACTTCATCAATCACATGCAGTTCTCTCCTTGGTATGTGTATTATTCCCCCATCTCATTACTTATACCGGAGTTCCATAGAACCTAATAGACTCCACCAGTAAGAACCCTTCACCCGCTTACCTGGCCGTTCCTCCCTCAGAAAAATGACTGAGGGCTCCAATGAAGGAGTGGTGGGGTTCCACATTAAAAATTAGGGAATTTCCCCCCCAAGGGAGCCTATCACTCTGTTTTAAACGCGTAAAGTGACAGCTGCCCTTTAAAGTCCAAGCTATAGTTTTGGATGGAGTTGGGAAGGATTAGAGCCTCTCATTGGGTTTGTATCGATATTTTTGTCCCATTGTGGAGATTCTCCCGACTTCCTGTCCTGGGAAATACAGTATCTATAGTCATGGACAATCTTCCAAAAGGAACAGAGAAAGAAACTGCAAAATGTTTTGTGTGCCAATCATACCATGTGAAATTGGATCAAAGTTTAAAGCTGTGGGTAGGAGGACTTACCCGTGCTGGGAGGTACACATAGAGCGTAGACTTAGATACCAAGTGCCAGTCTGGGGGTAAGGGATCCGGAGGCGGCTGACCGAGTTGCTGCTATTCACAGACAGAGAGAATCCAGAGAGGGAGTCTGTGGAGAGGAATGTGAGGAGAAGTCAGAGCAATGCAGAGAGGGGCAGGAGAAGAGCTCGGCTATAAACCGAGGTGTCTACAGACCTCAGATCCAGCATCCATGTAAAGAGGAGGAGGCCATCCTCAGGTAATGGTTGGTGTTAGGTAAAACAACAGCTTGGCCAGGAAAATTCCATCTCAATATTATTCCCCCAAGCAGGCCTGGAAGGATAATATCTCCATGGCACACTGAGGTCCTACAGACAGGAGAGCACCTGCCCATCCAACCATAACCAATCAGATTAGGTGAAAGCTTTCTAATGTTTATTTCAGCTCTTGTGTATCCCAACCCCTCTACTCCACCTTCAATGACTTCAGCTCTGAGAACTCGTTATACTCTCCAATCCTCCATCATCGTTGAGAAATATTGGCTGTGTACAGATATGGACACCAGTGACTGAACCACAAGACAAAATTATGTCAGGAGGCTCATTGCCCCAAAGGATGATGAGAATGATAGGAACACTGACCTGTCTGACAGGTGATGGAGGAGTTGTCACCGAGGATCAGTGGGACTCCATGGTTTAGACACCCGAAGACTGTCACGTTCTCTCCTTGGACAGAAGACTACATGGGGGAGACCGTGCCATGAGGGGGTAGAGAGCATTACATAGATGGAAGAGAAAACAAGACAATGTCAATACTGTGGTGGCCAAGTGTAACCCACCAAACCAAGCTCCACCAACTTAACATGACTTCTATTCATTAGACCTCCTTTGCCTAATTCACACCCGCCCATTCTAACACATATGTCATTTACCTATCTTCCGTGTCCTATATTCTGTCTGTCTAACTTAGATGAGGCAAGATAAAGCTGTATTATGTCCAAAGAAATGGGTTTGCTTTAATGGCAGCCCCACCAGCTGACTCCCTTCCTTCCTTCACCCAGATAGTGAAGTGACATACGGAGGAACATATGAATCTCCCTCTCTTCCTACATGAAAGCTCTGGTGCTTGGTGGTTGTCTATGAGGCATCCAGCACTGAAGCTTCCACAGAACCTAAATCCTCTCTCCTGCTGGTGAAATGAGTGGAAGAGTAATAAAGGGAAGGTGACAATTGGCAGCTATAGAGGCCACTAATAAAGTTAACCTGTTGCCTTGCCCTCCATGGACAAAGAACGATTCAGGTTAGGCTCATCAACCTCACACATATTGTCCCCCTCCCTGTCCCTTGAAGGACTCTAGCACCCTAGTGAACCATACAGTACATCCATCATCATAATCACATGACCCATGCTGGTTGGTGCCCTCAGGCTCTATTGTTACTCACAACATTGAGACGGACTTCCAGGTTGAGGACCCCTCCACTGTCCAGTACAGGTAGAAGATTGACACTGAACACGGCAGGACGGTCTGGTGGAACTGACACGTTGGGTCCGAAGAATATGTAGAAATGAACTGAGAACGTGTCCAGCTCGTTTCTCAGGGTGGGCCGTATGGGCCAACAAGATGGCTGGAGGATGGTGGCGTTACCCCAAGACATGTTCCCTGCTGACAGAGAGACTCCAGGGGCTGGGAGGCCTTCTAAGGAAGCCAATCCACCTGCTGCTCCAAAAGACTGAGGCATGTTTAAGGAGGAACTGGGAGCGATGGGCCCACGGGAGAGCCCAGGCCGAGAACAGTCTGCCAGGAGAAGAAAGCCAACATTTTAATGGTAAACACCTTACAAACCTCCCACCAGGCTCCGCAACCCAGCACTCACCTTGTAGCTGCGTAGTCAGCTGGAAATAGATAGCAGTGCCCGCCATTCCTGTCCGCTCCACCAACACGTAATACCAGTGCTGCCAGAGTGGCAGTGCCAGGAGGAGCTGACATACAGAGGAGGACGTACAATCTTGGCTGGAAGAATTGTGCAGAGGAGGGGCTTTGGCACGCAATCTTAGCAGGAGAGGGCAACTGTCAGCAGTGCGTACACCAGTACGGCAACCAAGGAGACTGACCCGCAATCCCGAGGTGAACTGAGGAATGAAGACTCTGAAAGAGCAAGAAGAAGGGGTAGGTATGTATCGTGTGGGTACTTCTTATCCTGTGGAGGACAGAGAGTGGGAACTCCAACATGACGGAAGTGCAGTAAATCTTATTTCAGATGATAGAAGGGAACAAGAGATTGCCGACATGTTTTGGGGCTTAGAACTCCCCCTTCATCAGTGCTGGGAAGTTAGACAAAAAATAATAACATGAAGGTCTAATTATACAGACATGTTTAAGATGTCTTAATAGCGAGATGTGGTTTATACAGTATATGACATACGCATGGCATGTCCTGGTATTAGGACATCTGAAAATGTGTAAATAGATCGTCATTTTATCTTATCCTATTTCCCAGTCCTGATGAAAGGGACTACTAAATCCCAAAACACGTCAGATTTGACCACCTGTCATGAAAAAAAAAAAAATGTTTACTTCACGTACACCCTAATTATGGTGATCTCACCCTCTCCACATTTTTAGACTACTTCAAGAACCTACAAGGATGCCCCAGCTGATAGAGAACTTGTATGAAAAGTTCAGTCTGGATCGTCCAGAAAGTGCCCCCCCCCCCCCAGGCCCCTGCTAGAGCACACAAGGTAAAACCTTCCCCTCCCCCATCTGTGCTGTCACAGCGTACTTAGGGGACACTGAATGGCTAATCCACAGAATGTCAGACTCAAGAACAGAGGAGACTACTCACTTGTAGAGAGCAGAGCGATTGTGTGGAGGAAGCATCTGCTCCGTAACGTATCCGGGATACAGGACTGGGCATTCATCGTGTAAACCCTGCATACACAGAGAGACGATTAGATGGAGTGATATCAGAGATGGGGAATTCAGAATGGGATAAGAGTTGGCTACACTGGATACAATAGGGAAGAAGATGGCGGTGGATGGAGGTGATGACAGTTGGGTACACTAGATACAATAGGGAAGGAGATGGCGGTGGATGGAGGTGATGACAGTCGGGTACACTGGATACAATAGGGAAGGAGATGGCGGTGGATGGAGGTGATGACAGTCGGGTACACTGGATACAATATGGAAGGAGATGCGTGGTGGATGGAGGTGATGACAGTCGGGTACACTAGATACAATAGGGAAGGAGATGGCGGTGGATGGAGGTGATGACAGTCGGGTACACTGGATACAATAGGGATGGAGATGGCGGTGGATGGAGGTGATGACAGTCGGGTACTGGATACAAATGGCGGTGGGGAAGGAGATGGCGGTGGATGGAGGTGATGACAGTCGGGTACACTAGATACAATAGGGAAGGAGATGGCGGTGGATGGAGGTGATGACAGTCGGGTACCACTAGATACAATATGGAAGGAGATGGCGGTGGATGGAGGTGATGACAGTCGAGTACACTGGATACAATATAGGGAAGGAGATGGCGGTGAATGGAGGTGATGACAGTCGAGTACACTGGATACAATATGGAAGGAGATGGCGGTGGATGGAGGTGATGACAGTCGGTACACTGGATACAATAGGGAAGGAGATGGCGGTGGATGGAGGTGATGACAGTCGGGTACACTGGATACAATAGGGAAGGAGATGGCGGTGGATGGAGGTGATGACAGTCGGGTACACTGGATACAATAGGGAAGGAGATGGCGGTGGATGGAGGTGATGACAGTCGGGTACACTAGATACAATAGGGAAGGAGATGGCGGTGGATGGAGGTGATGACAGTCGGGTACACTAGATACAATAGGGAAGGAGATGGCGGTGGATGGAGGTGATGACAGTCGGGTACACTGGATACAATATGGAAGGAGATGGCGGTGGATGGAGGTGATGACAGTCGGGTCACCTAGATACAATAGGGAAGGAGATGGCGGTGGATGGAGGTGATGACAGTCGGGTACACTGGATACAATAGGGAAGGAGATGGCGGTGGATGGAGGTTGATGACAGTCGGGTACACTGGATACAATAGGGAAGGAGATGCGGTGGATGGAGGTGATGACAGTTCGGGTACACTAGATACAATAGGAAGGAGATGGCGGTGGATGGAGGTGATGACAGTCGGGGTACACTAGATACAATAGGGAAGGAGATGGCGGTGGATGGAGGTGATGACAGTCGGGTACACTGGATAACAAAAATATGGCGGGAAGGAGATGGCGGGGATGGAGATGATGAAGGTGATGACAGTCGGGGTACACTAGATACAATAGGGAAGGAGATGGCAGTGGATGGAGGATGAACAGTCGGGTAGCACTAGATACAATAGGGAAGGAGATGGCGGTGGATGGAGGTGATGACAGTCGGGTACACTAGATACAATAGGGAAGGGAGATGGCGGTGGATGGAAGTGATGACAGTCGGGTACACTAGATACAATAGGGAAGGAGATGGCGGTGGATGGAGGTGTGATGACAGTCGGGTACACTAGATACAATATGGAGAAGGAGATGGCGGTGGATGGAGGTGATGACAGTCGGGTACACTGGATACAATAGGGAAGGAGATGGCGGTGGGATGGAGGTGATGACAGTCGGGTACACTAGATACAATAGGGAAGGAGATTGGCGGTGGATGGAGGTGATGACAGTCGGGTACACTAGATACAATATGGAAGGAGATGGCGGTGGATGGAGGTGATGACAGTCGGGTACACTGGATACAATATGGAAGGGAGATGGCGGTGATGAAGGAGATGACATGACAGTCGGGTACACTACTGGATACAATAGGGAAGGAGATGGCGGTGGATGGAGGTGATGACAGTCGGGTACACTGGATACAATAGGGAAGGAGATGGCGGTGGATGGAGGTGATGACAGTCGGGTACACTAGATACAATAGGGAAGGAGATGGCGGTGGATGGAGGTGATGACAGTCGGGTACACTGGATACAATAGGGAAGGAGATGGCGGTGGATGGAGGTGATGACAGTCGGGTACACTGGATACAATATGGAAGGAGATGGCGGTGGATGGAGAGATGACAGTCGGGTACACTAGATACAAAAAGGGAAGGAGATGGCGGTGGATGGAGGTGATGACAGTCGGGTACACTAGATACAATAGGGAAGGAGATGGCGGTGGATGGAGGTGATGACAGTCTGGGTACACTAGATACAATATGGAAGGAGATGGCGGTGGATGGAGGTGATGACAGTCGGGTACACTAGATACAATAGGGAAGGAGAGGAGGTGGTGGATGGAAGGCTCGGTGATGACAGTCGGGTACACTAGATACAATAGGGAAGGAGATGGCAGTGGTGGATGGAGGTGATGACAGTCGGGTACACTAGATACAATAGGGAAGGAGATGGCGGTGGATGGAGTTGATGACAGTTGGGTACACTAGATACAATAGGGAAGGAGATGGCGGTGGATGGAGGTGATGACAGTCGGGTACACTAGATACAATATGAAGGAGATGGCGGTGGATGGAGGTGATGACAGTCGGGTACACTGGATACAATATGGAAGGAGGAGATGGCGGTGGATGGAGGTGATGACAGTCGGGTACACCAGATACAATAGGGAAGGAGATGGCGGTGGATGGAAGATGATGACAGTCGGGTACACTAGATACAATAGGAAGGAGATGGCGGTGGATGGAGGTGCTGGTGATGACAGTCGGGTACACTGGATACAATAGAGAAAGGAGATGGCGGTGGATGGAGGTGATGACAGTCGGGTACACTGGATACAAATAGGGAAGGAGATGGCGGTGGATGGAGGTGATGACAGTCGGGGTACACTGGATACAATATGGAAGGAGATGGCGGTGGTCGGGTAACACTGGATGGAGGTGATGACAGTCGGGTACACTGGATACAATAGGGAAGGAGATGGCGGTGGATGGAGGTGATGACAGTCGGGTACACTACATACAATAGGGAAGGAGATGGCGGTGGATGGAGGTGATGACAGTCGGGGTACACTAGATACAATAGGGAAGGAGATGGCGGTGGATGGAGGTGATGACAGTCGGGTACACTAGATACAATATGGAAGGAGATGGCGGTGGATGGAGGTGATGACAGTCGGGTACACTACATACAATAGGGAAGGAGATGGCGGTGGATGGAGGTGATGACAGTCGGGTACACTGGATACAATATGGAAGGAGATGGCGGTGGATGGAGGTGATGACAGTTGGGTACACTAGATACAATAGGGAAGGAGATGGAGGTGGATGGAGGTGATGACTGTCGGGTACACTAGATACAATAGGGGGAATGGGATGGATGGACGGGGTACACTACATAACAATAGGAAGGAGGTGATGGAGGTGACAGTCGGGGGGTTACACTGGATACAATAGGGAAGGAGATGGTGGTGGATGGAGGTGATGACAGTTCGGGTACACTACATACAATAGGGAAGGAGATGGCAGTGGATGGAGTGGAGGTGATGACAGTCGGGTACACTACATACAATATGGAAGGAGATGGCGGTGGATGGGAGGTGATGACAGTCGGGTACACTAGATACAATAGGGAAGGAGATGGCGGTGGATGGGAGGTGATGACAGTGGGTACACTAGATACAATAGGGAAGGAGATGGAGGTGGATGGAGGTGATGACTGTCGGGTACACTAGAAGATACAATAGGGAAGGAGATGGCGGTGGGTATGTGATGGGGTGGATATGGGGTGATGACAGTGATCGGGTACACTGGATACAATAGGAAGGAGATGGCGGTGGATGGAGGTGATGACAGTTGGGTACACTAGATACAATAGGGAAGGAGATTTGGCGGTGGATGGCGGTGGTGATGACAGTCGGGTACACTAGATACAATAGGGAAGGAGATGGCGGTGGATGGAGGTGATGACAGTCGGGGTACACTGGATACAATATGGAAGGAGATGGTGGTGGATGGAGGTGATGAGTCGGTACACTGATACAATAGGGAAGGAGATGGCGGTGGATGGAGGTGATGACAGTCGGGTACACTAGATACAATAGGGAAGGAGATGGCGGTGGATGGAGGTGATGACAGTCGGGTACACTGGATACAATAGGGAAGGAGATGGCGGTGGATGGAGGTGATGACAGTCGGGTACTAAACTGGATACAATAGGGGAAGGAGATCGGGGCGGTGGGGATGGAGGTGATGACAGTCGGGTAACACTAGATACAATATGGAAGGAGATGGCGGTGGATGGAGGTGATGACAGTCGGGGTACACTAGATACAATAGGGAAGGAGATGGCGGTGGATGGAGGTGATGACAGTCGGGTACACTGGATACAATAGGGAAGGAGATGGCGGTGGATGGAGGTGATGACAGTCGGGTACACTAGATACAATATGGGAAGGAGATGGGCGGTGGATGGAGGTGATGACAGTCGGGTACACTGGATACAATATGGAAGGGAGATGGCGGTGGATGGAGGTGATGACAGTCGGGTACACTCTGGATACAATAGGGAAGGAGATGGCGGTGGATGGAGGTGATGACAGTCGGGTACACTAGATACAATATGGAAGGAGATGGTGGTGGATGGAGGTGAGACAGTCGGGTACACTAGATACAATAGGAAGAGATGGCGGTGGATGGAGGTGATGACAGTCGGGTACACTGGATACAATAGGGAAGGAGATGGCGGTGGATGGAGGTGATGACAGTCGGGTACACTACATACAATAGTGGGAAGGAGATGGCGGTGGATGGAGGTGATGACAGTCGGGTACACTGGATACAAAATAGGGGAAGGAGGGATGGCGGTGGATGGAGGTGATGACAGTCGGGTACACTGGATACAATATGGAAGGAGATGTGGTGGATGGAGGTGATGACAGTTGGGTACACTAGATACAATAGGAGAGATGGCGGTGGATGGAGTGATGACAGTTGGGTACA